TTTTTTTTTTTTTTTTTTTTTTTTTTTTTTTTTTTTTTTTTTTTTTTTGGTGAGGCCTCCCCCATCCCCCACCTCTGCTGTCTCCCATCTGACTCACCTGGTTTCCTCTAACTATGACTTAGGATAGGAGTCAGGCAGGTTAATAGCTAGGTTTGGGCAGCCTGTGGAGGTCTGGAGGTTTCTAACTCCACATTGTGGGCTCTGTCATAGCTTTTCCTGTGATGGTTAAGTTGGGGCATATTTGTCTTGTATTTCTGCTTCTCTTCCCAGAGACTACAGAGAAGGAGGTTTGAGGTAAAACATGAACTAGACAGCCTCCATTTCTAGGTGACCATAGCTGATTTCCCCTAATAGATGTTAACATAGATAATAAATTTCCAGTCTTTGGCTAGAACAGATTTCAAAATGCCTTCTGACCACCCTTAAACTGTTCTGTTTCCAAATCCAGCTGTAAGCGCAGTGGCTCTGAATGAGGGGTGTGGAGGCAAAGGGTTTGGATTCAGCTCTTGACTTCACTTTGAGAAATTGTGTAGTTTGAACAAGCTTTAGTTTTCTGAGCCTCAGTTTCCTCATCTATAAAATAGGGGTGATCATGTTCACTTCCTTGGCTTGTTAGGAGGATTAAATGAATTACTGCAAGTAAAATGCGTCATATAGCTCCTGACATATCGAAAATTCCCAGGAAATGTTCCCATTTTAGTTTTTAAATCCTGCCACTAATGAATGGATGTTTATTGTCCAGATTAAGTTTTAGCTTTTAATAACTTTTTTCTTGGTCCTAATATATTAGGGGGAGAAATTCCTCAAGAGATAGCTGGAATAATACATAACATTGTTTGTGTGATGACCAAATAATCTAGGTTTTGTTGCTGTTGCTGTTGTTATTGAGATATAATCTACATACCATAAAATGCACAGATGTTAAGTTTTCAATTCAGTGAGTTTTGACATTTGTCAACACCTGTAAACACCACCTTAATCAAGATATGGTACATTTCCATCACTCCAGAAAGTTCCCTAGGGCCCCTTTCCAACCACTTCCCACTCTCCCTCTAAGCAAATGCTTTTCTGATTTCTATCTGCCATGGATTAATTTTGCTTTAGTAAGTCTATTTTGATGTACAATTTTACAGAAGAAGCTTAGCACCTTCAGAGTTGCTTGTTTGTGTGTTATCAGTGCCTATGATTTCATTACAAGCCCAAACAACCTTAGGCACCCCCTATTAAAGCCACTTCCTAAATATCTGGATATTAAGGACGTCCTAAATTGGATGGTTGGAATTTATTTATTTATTTATTTGGATGGTTGGAATTTATTTCTGGACTACTTTTGCATCTCTTTGTGAAGCAATTTCTAGCCTAAGGGGCGGTATGTCGTCTAGGATTAATGAGATGTGTGTGCGCGTGTGTGTAGAGGGGGATATGATAACTTCGGAGGCTGTATTTATTTGCAACAGGGAGGTTAGCAAGTAGCTCCTGTCTTTGTATGAGCACTTCCCATTAGTATCAATGAGATTTAGCCAGACCCATGCACAGAGAAATAGAAACGGGAACATTTGAAAAAACTAACAACAAAAACTCAGGTTCTGGCACAGAACCACAAAACAGCAGCATGGGGGACAATGTCCACAAACCGGGTCTATGCTCCTTCCAGAACAGGTTTTCTCTCACCTCCCTATGTGGTCTGGTTATGCTTTTATTCTGAAATGTACCCGTTTTCCTTTGGCTGCAGTGTGTACTTTACATCTGATTGGAAACAGGAGTAATCCTTTGATTGTAAAGATGGATGAGTCTTGGAGGAGGTTCACAAAGCAGCACATCTCTGGATAGATTTACATAAGAGATTTAACGTCCTTTGAATCGAAGTTAATATATTTCACTGGGTAAACAGTATGAAAATGAAATCCTCAAAGAATCATGATTGCTAACCCCTGGGTGGTTATGCTTTCTGTATTTAAAAAAATAACTTCTGGCAAGCTTCAAAAGGATGCAGAGGAGAGGGATGACAAAGAAAATGAATGAATGTAAGAAAAATGAATTAAAGTTTTTTTGCCTTTGTAAGATGAGATAGATTGGAAATAGATTCTTGCTGTGGGTGACCTTCCCCACTCCCCCCAACCCCGCCTCTGATTTTATGAGGGGAAGGTTGGGCAGTTTTCAGTTTTTGTGTGTAGTTGGTACTTATACAATTAGTACTTTAGTATGGTTTCTTTATAAAAACTTAAAATATTACGATAAGATTGACATCCCTTTCCAGTCCCTCCCCACCCTAATCCTAGTTCCCTTCCTTGCAGAGGGATGTAACCAGTAGTTAAAGAAACTGGAAAACATTTAGTAGTATATAGAATCTTTGTTGTTATTTATATAAGCGGTGAAACATTGTGTGTTCTGAAAGGTTGATTTCCCGGCTAGTCTCTGTCAATGCAATTTGGATGCATCTCATTCTTTTTAACTGTTGCCTGGTGATTCGTCTTATTGGTTTCATCCACCCAAATTTCTGTAGATGCAGAATAATGTGGCAGTTGAGAACAAGGTGATTTCCTGCATCCAAATTCCTGCTTATTGCTTAGTAGCTTTATGTCCTTGGGCAAGATTACTCAACCTCTCTGTGCCTCAGTTTCCTCATCTGCGTGGAGATCTCAGTAATAGGAGCGAATCTCATGGGGCTGTTGGTGAGGGTGAAGTGCACTCAGAATAGTGCCCAGCACGTGGTGAGTGAGAAACATGTTAGTGTTACCATCACTCAGCCGTTGCCTGTGGATGGACAGTTTGGGTGTTTCTACGTTTTTTGCCCTTAACAAACCCCATGTGGTGGATGTCCTTTTCTGTGTGTGTCAGTGAGGGTTTCTCTAGGGTAGCATTTCTCCAGGGTGTGTGTGGGAGCACGTGTTCCCTAAAAGATTTGAAGGAGATTTACAGGGGGGTGCATTTGAAGTAATTCGAGGGTCCTGCCCTGCTGCCCTCCCAAATTGTCTCTCGCCTTTTCTGTTCCCAGCACCAGGAGAAGACATTTGCTTTCAGTAGGGCTCATCCCCTGTCCCTTCTCTCCGCAGGGCTTCGTGCTGGCCGTCACCATCATCCGCGAGGCGGTGGAGGAGATCCGATGCTACATGAGGGATAAGGAAGTCAACTCCCAGGTCTACAGCCGGCTCACAGCAAGAGGTCAGCCTCCTGGCTCCAGGGGCCACAGGGTTGCAACTCAATCACGGGCCGCTGACAGTCAGGGGAGCAGAGTTCAAGGCCCGGGCCGCGGGTGTGTGGGTGCTGTGTGGTGGGACGGTCACTCAGTTGCCCCAGCCTGTGGAGACCTCCATCTGCCAGGACCTGGTGGGTCTGGGGCAGCACCACCAGGCCACCGTTGGCCTCTTAGCATTGGTTCTGTCAAATAACTTGCACATCATCAGTGTGGAATTAAATCCAGAGTGTTTGGCATCCTCCTTTGCTAGTCCCGGCCCCTTTCTCCTCCTCCTCCAGTTCACACAGGAGCCCACCAACTGCTTTAAAAGATAAACAGCTTTTGACGGTGATTACTTTACAAATCAAACCGTTGCAACATTAGTTTTAAAAAGGCAAAAGATTTACATAAATACTACATCCATGAAGATTTCTTTGAAGACATCTTATAAATCCTTGAAATTGAAATGTGAGAGAAATGTAGTCTGATCTAAAGAGAAATGACCAGATAATCTTTAATCATTGACCTCCCCCCTTGCAAGACATGAACACTTTAAATGGTGGCTGGAACTTAAAAACCCACCTGAATACACACTTGGAGAAGCCACAAGACAATCCAGCCAACGTTGACTTCTTTTTCCAGCTACAATAGATTGACTTTAAGGTTGCATTCAGGGGGCTGGCCCGTGGCTCACTCGGGAGAGTGTGGTGCTGATAACACCAAGGCCCCGGGTTCGGATCCCATATAGGGATGGCCGGTTTGCTCACTGGCTGAGCGTGGTGCTGACAACACCAAGTCAAGGGTTAAGATCCCCTTACTGGTCATCTTTATATAGGAAAAAAAAAAGACATTCTGATATTGTCAGACACTGTAATAATCTAAATCATTCTAAATGTCATCGGGTGGTCTCTGCTGTCCTCTCTGAGGGCCTTTGCTGTAAGCTGCAGGCCAATGATAGGGTCATCTGGAAGAAACATCCGAGAAAGACAGCCTGAGAGACTCAGAGGAAGGAAAGAAACGAGGTACCCAAGATTCAGGATTTCTAGGATCAATTCAATTGAGAAGTAGGTGACTTCATGATTTCAGGTTGCTCACCCAAAACCATTGGAAGGAGAATTATTTCCAGCATTCAGAAATGAGAGAATGTTACCTAAAGTTTGCTAATCTGGCTGGGGAAAAACGTAATTGATTGTCCCCTAAGATTACTGATCCCATTCAGGGATTAGTACTGTTTTAGCAGAGGCTGAAGGGAATAAAAGCTATGCCTTGCCTGCAGGAAATTGAGAATTCAGAGAGATAAGATAGATGCCTAAGGGACTTAGCACCTGAGCCAGAGTCCAACTGCTTTATGTTAGGAGCTTTAGCTTCCAAAGCCGCAGTCCGTCTATGGTTTCAGGGTGTTGAGTAGTATTCCTTCTAGGAAAAATGTTGAAGGAATATGTTTTGGGTTCAAAAACAAAAAAATTAAAATTTCAACAACATTTCTTGAGAGCATGAAAATATTTTGTTTTAGTGCATTTGAACACATTTTCATGGTTGGTGGTCTTAAAAATTTGCAAGTCTCTGGGAGAAGGGGGAACTTAGAGTTGTTATGAAAATGCTTTATTAATGCTAAGCTACTGTATTGAAGACATTTTGCTACCTAAAGAAAAAAAAATCAGCATAATCTTTACAAAGGCAGGTGGCTTGAGCTTTCCACGTGGGTAGTCAGAAGACCGCTCTGGAGGGTTTTTTTTTTTTTTGTGGTTTGTGTATATTAAATCCTCCCTTAATAACATATTCTTACTATAACATTCAAAATGCTTGGCAACCGACAAAAGCCGGTCGGAGAGGGTGTGGCGGATCTCTTTAGAGCTCAAGAGAAGGGGCCTTTGGACTCCATTCATCTATCCCACTCCAACTTTCCTTTGGTTCTTTTCATATTGCAATTGCTCTTCCTGTGAATGATTTTTCTGCCCTCTGCTGCACACCCTTTTCCAGCTCTTGCTCACTCATTTCTTGAAAAGATACTAAGGGGAATTGGCAGATGGCTCTAGCATTAAAAACTTGTCTTCCTTTGTTGGCCTCCTTTTGTGGCCCTTGGTCTCTATTGTCATGTCAATGGCACGGTGGAGGAAAACAGAACACAGTTCTGAATATTAACCTAGGCCCCAGCTCTGCAATTTGCTTTGAAAACCAAACAAAACACTGAGGAAACCGTCAGCTCGGAAAGTGATCCGGGCGAGTTGAGTTATTCGATACACTTTGTGGGGAGAGGGCCAGAGTAATAAGCCCACACTGGAAGGTTGTAGGGAGAGGAGGAAAAAGAAGCCTTTTTGACCTTACTGTTGAATTACTAAATAATATTTCCTTGAGCAAAGCTTTTCACTACTATCTTCACTTAGTAAGTTCAAAAGCAAAATGAAGCAAATACTGTATGTGTATGTGTATTCGTGAAGGTCTGTTTTCCTTTTTATCACTTGAAATCTTAAAATATACTTTTCAGCACTACTCTTGGGATTCAGAATGTTCAGAAACCAGAATACTTTGATCACTAAATTATGATATTTACCTCCATGCCACATCATTTCCTGATTAATAATAGCAGTACTTGTATTATTATGGTTAAAATTTTTTTGTTTTGTAATAATTTCTAACTAGCAAAAGAAGTTGTAGAAGTCATACAGAGAACTCCTATATGCTTTTAACCCAGATTCACTAATTGTTACATTTTACCACATCTCTTTCTCGCTCTCTCCCTCTCTCTTTTTTTTTTTTTTGGCAGCTCACCAGTACAGGGATTGAACCTTAGACCCTGGTGTTATCAGCACCACACTCTAACCAGCTGAGCTAACCGGCCAGACCGTTTAATATTCTCTCTTTATATATATAGAGAGAGTGAGAGATAGATAGAAGTACATATCTAAAGTCACTAGAGAGTAAAATTGCAGACATCATTTCCTTTTACCCCTGAATACTTCTTTGTTTAATTCCTAATGAGACATTTTTCTTATATAACAATACAATTATCAACATCAGGAAATATATTGACATATTACTGTTAATCTTATTTACAGTCCTTACTCAAATTTTGCCATTCGTCCCTAAAATGTCCTTTTATAGCATTTTATTTTCCCGGTCCCGGAGACAATCTGGGTTTGCCAGTTGCATCTCATCATCCTCTGTGCTTGGTCTCCTCTAACCTGGCATAACTCCTTGGTTTTGTCTTTCATGACACTGACATTTTTGAAGAGGACAGGATAGTTTCAGGCCCATTGCTCTGTAGCCTGGCCCTCGATTTGTGTGTGTTTGATGTTGCCTCAAAATTAGATTTTCACAACATGCATTTTTGGCAGGAATTAATGTAGTTTTAGGAATGCAGGTGGCACAGATTCTTGTTGGGACATTGCCAGAGTTTTAGAGGCTTTAATTTAATCAAAGTGAAAAACTTCCAAACTTTGAGAAAAAAGATTTCTATTTTAAACAGCTGAACTAGAAGCCTTGCTAATAAGGAACTCACCAGCGGGAGGAAAAATGCAGGACAGTTTTTTTTTCTTTTTTAATGGCTGCTTCCAACATTCTAGATCATCTTATTTCATTAAGGTATAACTTAACAACATATTAATTGGATTAATTTTTAGTGTAACTGTCATGGCTTCATAATAAGTATTTGAAGTATTTTGATAATAAAATTAGCCATCCACATGGAAATTACCTTTTATTCATTTTTTTAAGGAAATATTAGAGACTTTATCATGTGCCAAGTGTATGAAAGTTTTCTGCGTTACAGAATCTGAGGCTTCAGGGAAATCATAGTCCGTGGGGTGGTATCCAGGCGTGTTAACAGGTAATCACAAAAAAGTAACTAATAATTATACTTTGGTGGCGTGAGCGTGGTGGTCCTCATAAGTAACGTCCTCCTTTTTCACCACTGTGTTTCTGGTCCTGGGTGTAGTTCCTAGAAGTTGAAAGCAGTAGTTTCAAGTTTATGCTCTGCCTGGGTTCGAGAGTCCTGTTTCCAGCTCTCCCTACTGTGTGGGCAGATCCCTTAAGCTCTCAGTAAATGTAAATCAGGGATAATAATAGCACGTGCCTTAGAGGGTTGCTATAATGTAACTCTTGCATAGGAAGAGCTTAGCACTGTGCCTTGGGACTCGGCCTGTGCTGAAGAGAAGCCAGTGATGGTGGTATTTCAGCAGGGGTTTGTTCATTGGGTGTTGGTGGTTAAATAAATGGAGGTATGAGCCAGGGGAAGTGGGAGGTTATGGGAGCCCATCAGAAAGGAGCCAATGCTGTCTTTCCAAAGAGGTGACCTTCTTCCAGAGGTTTATTGGATGGATGGAAGAGAGCAGGACTGGCTACAAGCTTCGTGGGGCCCAGTGCAAAATGAAGATGTGGGGTATTTCTTCAAAAGTTAAGAATTTCAGGGTGGCTGCAGGAGAGCATTAAACCAAGTACGGCACTCTTCTGAACATAGGGACTGCGCCAGTGCCCAGATGGCATGCCCATGAAGCTGGCCCTGGAAAAGATTTTTTCCAAAAAGACCATCAGGTTGAGCAGGAGGCCACAGCTTGTGGTGTTTGGGAGTGTGGGCTGCAGAACCCAAGGTTCTGGGTCCATCTCGTTCTTCTCAATTAGGCCATGTTTTCTGAGCCCCTCTCTCCTGGGCAAACAGAAGAACAGACCAGGTAGGCCAGTGAGAACCTGAGGCTCGGGGAAGGTTGATTCTGACATCCAAGAATTTGCATACAAGGCATGCTACAGTAAGAAGGTGGCTTTGAGCTGTTTGAAAAATGTCCAAATAGAAAAGCAGGAGAAAAAAGGAAGGACTACCTACCATAAGCCAGGCAGGTGCTGGATGAGGTCTAGTTTATAATTTTTAAAACAGCCCTGTGGAGGTAGCTTTTACAGATGAAGTTGTAGGGAAGGGAAAGGTTTGTTTTTCACCCATCACTAGGTTCATAGCCTAGGCCCCTGTGATAAAAGAGAACATCTTGTCTGAGATGAT